ATCAAGTTTTGAACTGTCCAGATTTACAACAATGTAACTTTGTCTTTCTCGCGTTTCTCTTTTTAATTTTCTTACTCCTCATACTTTATCATACAAAATTTTTTTTTTTTGATTGCATTAGAAATCCGTAATGTTTAATGTTAAAAATACAATAATGTTCGAAGAAATAAATTTGTAGTTAATCCGCAGAGGACCTTGATGTTGAGGCGAAACTATCGTAATAACGCGGTATGATGTATAAAGATGTAAAATCTAGCAAAGTTCGCGAAACTGACGTTCCTGTAATTAGATTCAACGGTGCGAAAGGGCGACGAAGGGCAGCGGAAACTTGCCCCGATCCAGCTCGGTTAGTGATTATAAAATCCGCCTGCAGGCGGTACCGCAAGTTCTGATCTTTCACATCTTTTACAGCGCTATTTACATACGTTCTCGTACTCTGAATATTCTTAACAGATGCGTATTGTTTCAAATGTTTTTACGTAGGTATCTCGAAGCGTGGTTGAAAAAAATTATGCGTGTTAGAGATGTGAAAGCACGGCGATTGACGATATTTTATCAACAGTCACAAGATGTCAAATAAATGTAAAACATTTTTTATATACAACGCGTACAGCGATAGACAATCACATATTTTCCAGATGAAATAGATTTACAACAAAACCATAACTCAAAAACCTGAATTAAGAGAAAAAACTCCCGCTTTTTCTTAAATTATTAATTGAAGCGATTTTCTTATCGAGCGCAGCTTAAATTACTCCAGGATAAATTTTCGCGTTATATATGTCGGATTGATCGAGACGCGCAGACGATCTCTCGGCCGGCACATAAATTTATGCTAAATTATAATGATCGGATGAGTTCTTATCTCGATATTCCACCTTATATCGCGGCGTACGTGCGCGGAAGTGCAGGAAGCGCTTCACGGAGCGGGAGAAAAAAAGGAGTCGTTATACGTTGAATCTCCCGTGCATCGTTTGATCCCTGGCTCCGAGACGGCGATGCGGTTTACGTCTAGCGGCGGTATATACGTCCGGAGAAAATGAAGGAAGTACCTTTGACGTTAATATTTCCCCGGCATCGGCGAGCACGTTCCTGTAAACCGTGAGGCATTAAAAGTAATACATAATTATTCACGGTTCATTTCGTTTTCCCATTTCCTATGTGATGTAGGCGTGTACGTGTACACGCGTTGCACGGGTGTGCGCGACGAGCTCCGATCTCGCCATCACCGGCAGCTCGTACACCAAAGAGGGACAAAGAAGTGGAAAGAGAAAGAGCAAACCGGAGGTGGGTGAATTTAGAGAGAAAGAGACAGAGAGAGAAAGAGGGTGGTGGCGATGGTGGCGGAGACGAGATCTGACTGTCTGCAGGCTTGTTTCTGCGCGCTTTGAGCACATGCATTCTACTCTCCCCCGCAAACCGTGGACGAGAACCAGCTGCGCGAGCGCGAGTTAACCAGCTCGCGAGTATGGCGAAAATAACGCCGTGAAAATCCGCTTAAGCGGAAACAGCCCGTCATCGTATTGATCCGTACCGTTACCATCCCGCAGAAATGAAAGATGAAATGAAAAAAAAAGAAAAAAAAGAAAAAAAAAGAAAAGAAGATAAAAAGAGAAGAAGAAAGGGAAAGGAAACAACAAAAAGCTCATTTCGCCGGACGCGCGGTTGAATTTATACCGGGTGGGTATAGGACGCGATGTATCGCGACAGTAGGATCTATATGGAGAATTAAACGACGGCTTACAAATGTATGTATGTGCGCGATCGAGTCTCTCTTGCACTTCCCCGGCACGTAGGTCCAATTAGCATAACTAATATCGAGTGCGACGCTGTTATACCTCTTTCTGTTATCACGTGATATAATCCCACCGATATTTTCCGCCCGGCGTATAATCCTTTGGAGAAAACGAATTATACTTTAATTAAACAATTAGCCATTATTAATGAATTCATTATTAATGAATATGTGCGAGTCTGATATTTCAAAAGACTGCAAAAAGTATACTTTAACTAAATATAACGATTACTATATCTCTATCATCGATTCTATTTTTCGAGAAAGAGAGAGAGAGAGAGACGATGTATTCATTACTATTTTATTACTATTTAAAACCTCGTTACTTAAAAAACTTTCGCGAGTTTTTGGCCGGTTAATTATTCACGATAAGATCCGACGCTGTAATAACACAACGGCGGACATTATCGGCGCAATTTTCCGTGTTTCCCGCGTTGAAGTGTCGCCCGTGGATGTCGTTAAGTCGAGTTATCTCGAATGCGAATAATTCCGACAACGCTCGCGCCACACCGTCGGGATGCTGCGCCTGCATTCTCGTACATACAGCGCACAGCGCGCACTACATTTCACTATATCTCCTGTCATAGCTCGCTCGTACGTATATGTATATGTACGTACTAAAATACGTACGTACACGTGCGACGGGGGCTTTCATACAGCCGAAGACGAGATACACCCGGTGTATGCGCCGCATATACGAGGTGAATATATCTTACGCCGCGGTCCGCCCACACACTATCTCAGATCGCTGCTTATGGCCAGACACGATCCTCCTCGTCGCACCCCTCACATTTTTCTTCCCGTAACCTTTATACTTCGTATTCTAATAAATCGCGATTTGGGTCATCGATGCGCGTCGACGTATGTACGTCCCTCCCCTCCCCTCCCCTCCTCACCCCTCCCCGGTATCTTGTTGATGCGTGCATAACAAGCGCGATATACGATCGCGTTTCATTAAACAGCATGATGCAACCAATGTTATTCAACCAACGTAAAGGAAGTGCGTGTTGGGTATCTTGCGTGTTTATCTAATGCGAATTAACATGCGCGAGTACATTAAAGTTGAATTAACAACGTATTTAATTTTTACGGATCAGCGTTATAGACGATTGTCGGGCATTAATAGCATTTACATGATTGATTAATGCCAGCTATGTCATTAATTATCTATGGGTTCGCTACTATTGTCAACCTAGAGAATTGCCGATAATACTATGCCAATGTATGTGAATCTATCGCATCTACATAATTAATGAATTGTATCGTGAATCTAATTTCCCATTCGAGTTTTTTTTTTTTTTTTTTTTTTTTTTTTTATTTTTTTTTCGTTAATATGTAATGCGATATGTCCTGCAGGAATAATGCAAATTTAAACATTTTACGCTCTGCTAAATTTAGAATACCTTTTTATCGAAATGGCAGAGTCTTGGAGATCACACTTAAAGTGCGTCATGTGCCGAAGTGACACGTGTCAATGATGAATGTCATTGCTGGTACGAGGCGTACGTGCGGAACGTGAAAGCGCTCTCGGGTATTGGGGAAAGAGGATATATTGTTTCTCTTGAAAATGTTCCCGACGACATAGGGAA